TCCAGCGCTGGGCTGTCAGGGTTTCCCCTGGTCCCCGGCGCTTCCATCTTATCCCGGTCTTCCTTCTGGGTTCCAAATCTTTGGCCGCTTGAATGGCTGGGCTGCGGTGACATCACTCCCGCACATGTGCGCAGGAGTCACTTTGCCGCGACATACAGAGCCCATAAATGTGGTCTATTCTGTGTATGTATGGCTCAGATTGCATTACCCACTGACAGACGGGGTCATTTATGACAGAATAAACCTCTAGGGTTGTGACCTCTAGATTGTGTTGAGTTTTATACATGTCTGAGACTCTTGCTTATGAAAGAGTAGTCAAAGCATTTTTTATGGCTACAAGAAAGCTTTTGTTTTATTTAACCATACACCTTTAAGCACCTCTTTTTGTAAAAGCAATTCAGCCACATAGAGTGTTCACCATAGCATGCTGGGTGCACACCGCATTACTGCTCTGCTTAGGGTGCTTAAAGGTTCCCCAGGTCTCTTCCTATCATAGCAAAACTCCTGCCTGACAGACTCTTCAGGTGAAATGCAACAAACATGTAGGTACACAGTTACCCAAGCTAGAAAGTCTCCCTGTTAAAAGGGTGGCAATAACAAACCTGGTGGGTTTCATATGAAATTTCTGAGCTTGAATGCACAAAGTCAGTGCTTAGAACCAAGATGAGGTGGGTGCACGCTTTGGAAATGGTTTACTGGATGGAGTGGAAGACCTGAAACTAGTCTGCTACAGGAACTGAGGCAATGACACCTTGATCCAGGAGACCCGAAAGGGCTCCATAGGGATCTACTAATCTCCGCAGAAACACAGGAAGGTTGGAGATGAGAACCCAAGGTTTGGGCAGAGAGAACAAAACTCTGGCTCTGAAGCCCTTGGATACTACTGCCTGAACCCAGGAATAAGAGATGCAAGCAGTCCTAGTGTTTGTAAAGGTTAACAAAATTTCCCCCCTACTCTGGAACGTGCCCAAATCCACCAATTTTTTGTAGCCAAAGACTTTAAAGGGCATATAGGTTGTGACATCATAAAGAAAAACATTTTATGTAAAAATATAAAGTTTATTATACAAACATTAAAAAAACACATGTGACACCATAACGTTAACATATATTATCTACATCACAGATCAATGCATTTCGAAAGATCATATATAATCAGGAGAAAATGTGGATGAGCCCCATGCAGTTGAACCCAGTCATTTAAAAGCAAACAATATTTATATCTACTGGAGAACAAAAAGGTGTTAACCATAATTTCCCAAGAGGGGTACAAAGCAGAGCGACAAAGTCAAAGCGTCCTCCACCTGTGTACAAACAGGAGATCAATGAAGGAAGGGAGGCTGTAAACCTCTCAGCCCATCATAACGGTTTCTTAAATCTACAACCATTTGCCTCAAATTATATATACCAAAAAGGATAAACCCCAGCATGAGCAAGATCTCCTTTAAAGGACTTTAACTAGTAAGTCAGTCAAAAGGAAGACCACAGTGAAGATGGGGTGAATGGTAGGGCCTGCCACTGAGAAAAGAGCTCCGGAGAGGGCTTCCAACTGTTTACTCCTTAAAGCAAGGCTCATCCCCCCACTGGTATGGCGGTTGCTCTGTAAAAAAGTGGTATGTCCCAGCTGTGTCCTGCCTTAAGTCCTTAACAGGTTCAAGGCTAATAAACTCTTAGGGGAGCAAACATCTAGCTTCCAGTCTCCATAGGGGAAGGCTAGGAACAGCAGGTGCACTGGGACGGTTTTCGGACTCATAAAAGCAATACTGTTATCCTCTAGTTTTGGAGCGGTGTGCAGCTCATCAACAGGATCCAAAATGGTCTCTTAATTCGGGAGTAACAGCAGAGGACAGCGACTTCTCAGATGCAAGCTCATCAGTTAAAGACTGGACTGACTCAGAATCAGACAGACCGTCTCAGCAGCTAATGGCTCAGTGACCACCAAGGCTGTGGGTAGATCAAACACAGAATTTACAGGAGCGAGCTTGTGGATTCTGCAGTTAGAGCCAGCAATTAACTAGGTATTTTTGGCCTTTCATTACTCTGGAAAAATCTTAGCTGAGAAGTCAGACGAACCGGTAACAGTGTAGCAAAGGAAGACTCTGTCCATAGGGTAGACTCTAGGAACAAAAAGGGGAATAGGACTACAGGCTGCAGACATCAGCCAAATCATTAGGCGAACTGCAAGTAGCCCCAGAGCCAATGGTAGAGTGTGAATTGGGGGCATTTCCTATCAGCTATCCCTCCGTGTCTAGAATCAAACATGTTATGGCCATGTGATGGTAATGCAACAAAAGGCTCAGGGTATGAAGCAAGGTCTCAGGTACTCCTGAAACCCAGACAGCTGGTAGCAGGTTAGGATTAGAGGACCAGAGGTGACTAAAGTTACTGCAGAAGAAGTGATAAAAGATCATCTCTTTACAAAGTAGGAGCAGCAGCAGAGAGATGCTTTCTTAACATTGTATGGTGCGGAAGAGTGTAGACTGTGTATGTGACAATCCACCAAGTGGATGCCTTCAGCACCGAGAGACCTTTGTACTTGAGGTATCTTGCACTGCTTGGCCTGACCAGTCCATTCACAAAGCAAATCTTCAAAGACAGGGCAAGAGCTGGAACAATGCTAAATCTCTGGACCTGGAAAGCGCTCTGCGGCTGACTTTTTATGAGAACGGAGCCTGGAAAGTGCAGTACGTGGAACCCAGTGTCTGACGGTCACTACCAGGCTATTCCCACAATGTCCATTCCAGCAGGATCCAGATGTGCCACTCCAAAGGCCAGGCTCAGAAGGCTAGCTGCTATTGGAGAGACCAGCTTTAGCAGCTGTGTAGAAAAGTTTTTTTGAGGGGGGAAAAACATTGTGAAGAGTAGAAAAGCTGCTAGCAAAAAAATAGGTTAGTCTTTCACTCAGAAGAGCTGAAGAAAAGAGGTTAATCCTCCTAAGACATTAGTAAAATACAGAGGCATGCTGATAGTACAATTGGTTATCTTGAGCTGGCCTATAGTTTATTTGCCAGTGTCTAATTCTCCTGTATGCAGCAGTATAACCAGAAAGTGAAAATCCCTCTCTGTCCCTCAAAAAAAATTATAGATTTTAAAATGATGGCTGCAATAGAAAATTTAACCACAAAATTATAAACTATATTGCCAAAAGTATTGGGAAACTCCTCCAAATCATTGGATTCAGGTATTCCAATCACCTCCATGGCCACAGGTGTATAAAATTAAGCACCTAAGCATGCCGACTGCTTCTACAAACATTTGTGAAAAAATGGGTCGCTCTCAGGAGCTCAGTGGATTCAAGTATGGTACCGGAATAGGTTGGCACCTGTGCAATAAGTCCATCTGTGAAATTTCCTTGCTGCTAAATATTCCACAGTCAGCTGTTAGTAACATTATGGCAAAGTAGAAGTAACTGGGAACAGCAGCAACTCGGCCACAAAGTGGTAGGTCGCGTAAAATGAAAGAGGCGCATAGTGTGCAGCAATCGCCAACTGTCTGCAAAGTCAATAGCTAAAAGACCTCCAAACTTCGTGTGGCCTTCAGATTAGCACAACAGCACATAGAGAGCTTTATGGAATGGGTTTCCATGGCCAAGCAGATGCATCCAAGCCTTACATCACCAAGTGCAATGCAAAGCACCAGATGCAGTGATGTAAAACACGCCGTCACTGGAATCTAGAGCAGTGGAGACGTGTTCTCTAGAGTAGTGTTTCTCAACCTTTTTTCATTCAAGGAACCCTTTAAAATTATGGACAGTCCCAAGGCACCCCTTAATATCATGGACAGTCTTGAGGCATCCCATTCTAAAATGTGAAAAAACTATTCCAAAAGGTTTTTATATATTGCAGCAATATTCACATATGTAGTGCACCCAACATTAGAGGTGAATAATTCTTCCAAAGCAAATATACTTTTGCACATTGCTACTGAGTCGCAGTACTGATGGAAAGGGGCAGGGGAGAGTCAAACTAGGATGCTGTGCAGGCAGCGGACATCCTCCTTTTCAACTGTTGGGGTCACTGGTTATCAGGACGCTGGCGGGAAGAAGGTAATGGTGGCTAATGAAAACCTGTGATTTTGTGTTACTAAAAGGCAGGCTTGTTCCACCCACTGGCTTGTATACATGTTTTGGGCAACTTTTATACATTTTGCCAAGCCACCCCTGAAGAAATCTCAAGGCACCCTGGTTGAGAAAGGCTGCTCTAGAGTGACTAATCACAGTTCTCTGTCTGGCAACCAGATAGACATGTCTGGGTTTGGCAGTTGCCAGGAGACCGGTACTTGCCTGACTGCATTGTGTCAAGTGTAAAGTTTGGTGGAGGGGGATTATGGTGTGGGGTTGTTTTTTCAGGGGTTGGGCTTGGCCCCTTAGTTCCAGTGAAGGGAACTCTTAAGGTGTCGGCATACCAAGACGTTTTGGACAATTTCATGCTCCCAACTTTGTGGGATTTGGGGATGGCCCCTTTCTGTTCCACCAGTGCACAAAGCAAGGTCCATAAAGACATGTATGAGCCTGTTTGGGGTGGAGGAACTTGACTGGCCTGCACAGAGTCCTGACCACAACTCGATAGAACACCTTTGGGATGAATTGGTGTGGAGACTGTGAGCCAGACCTTCTCGTCTGACATCAGTGCCTGACCTCACAAATGCGCTTCTAGAAGAATGGTCAAACATTCCCATAGACACACTCCTAAACCTTGTGGACAGCCTTCCCAGAAGAGTTGAAGCGGTTATAGCTGCAAAGGGTGGGCCAACTCAATATTGAATCCTACGGACTGGGATGCCATTAAAGTTCATGTGCGTGTAAAGGCAGGCGTTCCAATACTTCTGGCAAAATAGTGTATATATCAGAATAGTTTTAGTGGCATATTTATAAAAAAGTGAAAGTGACATTCATCCAAACACTAACTGCAGGTGAAACAGTCACTGACATTTCAAACACATTTACAGGAAGATACACCTGATAACTGTAAGCGACAATAAAATAACTATTATATACCAACCTGCAGAGTCGTAAACTATAAGCAGCTTCAGCAACATGTATCAACCACGCCACCCAGAACCTGGCAAGATAAAATTGTCAAAATGGAGAGGATTAACAACTGCAAGCAGCAGTGAATCGAACATCTAGCACAAGCAATAGAAGCAGTTCCAAAATGGGATCTCTAGTGTAAATCAAAGTATCCCTTAAAAATAAAATAAATGACCTTCCTCTCTCCAACGTGTACAGACATGCCATAGATGACCACCTTATTATGGCAGTCCTTGAACTTCTCTATTCCAAATTCAGCATTTTTCACATAACTTACAGTAGGTATAGAAAATAATCACCCCCCTCCCCCTTTAAAATAATCACATTTTGTTGCCTTGCAGTCTGAAATGAAAACAGACACAGTTTTTGTTTTATCCAGCTGTATTATGCCCTGCAACTTATAAACACACAAGTGAAAGATGTAACACCAACATTTCAGAAAAAAAAAAAAAAAAACAGAATCACCGAGTTGAAAAAAGGATCACCCCCTCATATCAGTATTTTGTTGATCCACCTTTTGCTTTAATCACAGCCTGTAGATCACAGTTGAAAGTCAAATGGCTTTGTGCCATTGAGGTGATTAGCTACACCTGACAGATTACAAGTCATTTTCAGGAAGGGGTGATCCTTTATCCAACTCAGTGATTCTGTTTTTGATTAAATATTTTTTTTTATGACATGTTGGTGTTAGATCGTTCACTTGGATGTTATAAGATGCACTGAGTAAATACAGCTGGATAAAACAAACCAAAAAAAAAAAAAACACAACAACAACAACAACAACAAACTATGTCTTCATTTCAGGTTGAAAGCAACAAAATGTGATTTTAAAAGGGGGCGATTCTTTTCTAAACCCACCATAAGATGAATGAATTGGAAGGGGGGGGAGATCAGAGTTCAGGCAAAGTGACTGAATGACTGTCTAAACTTCACTAGCGAAATCACATTAACATATGGCTGCATTCAATAATACAAAGGCAATGGTAGAGATTCACAGGTTTCTGGGACCTCAAGGGAAGGAATTTGTGATTTTGCTCATTTTACACATACCAGTTTTTTTTGCTGACACAAAACTAACAATACAGGCTCTCCAAGTTATTAAAGAATTTGCAAAGTTATATGGCATTCATGACCCCGTGCTAAAATGTGTGCAGATTATCTGCTTCTTCTTAAGCAGTAAATCAGTGTTTCTGCCTGATAATACTCCCTTGCCTTGTAACAGTGCTTACATGACTTCCCTGCTGTGGGTATACGTAGCTAAGACCTGTATATGAACTAAGCCCAGTGCAGTCATTGGGTAAACAGAATACATTTTTTTTTAGCAGATTAGGATTTAGAGCAGTGGTAGAAGGGGTGGAAAAAGGCTGGCTTAAAATGTCACTTTAATTCTACCTAAATAAGTACAATGCTGGTGACAATTCCTTCTGTCTGCTTTTATAAATCTCATCATGGAACAGGGCAATATGTACCCTCCCATTTAAAAGCACAACACTGGAGGCTGTGGAAGGCCTAAGTGGAATACTCCAGGAGGAACCCAGTTGTCAGATAATGCTTGAGATACTGGAAAACTGGATCTGATGAAGTCAAAATTGTGGTATTCATGGAAAGTTCCAGTGAAAACTAAAACTGGCCGTACACTATTAGCTTTAATGTAACGGGTTCCTCCAGCCACACTACACAGAGTGGATGGATGAAACCCTGTGCTGGGCTATTTTACTAGGTCAGCTGCCAACAGCAGCTGTCAGAATACCCAAACAGTGGCTGCATCTGATTGGATGCAGCTGCCGTTCAGCTCACAACTTACCATCTGGTTCCTTAATGAAGGATGTCAAGCAGGTGGGGACCAACAGGACCAACCACTGAACGAGTTTTTGCTGGTTCATCAGGAACTGGATGAAATTTGATCAATGCATAGGCAGCTTAAATGCCTGGTACACACAATGAGAGAGTTGTACAAAGGGGAAAACAAAACAAAACAAAAAAAAAAAAAACACAACAACATTCAGAGCAATTGACCCATAATCTATTTGTTAGTAAACAGCTTTCAAAAGTCGATCATGCGAAAATATCTGAAGGGACACGTACGAAAAGTTCTCGTAAAATAACAGATCAAAAAGAATTGTAATTAGTATAGTTTATTGCACAAAAAAAAATTTTGAGTCACCAAAACCACACATGCTCAGAAACAAAAGAATACATCACTTTCAAAGTTGTATTCTCTCTTACGATAATTTTCGATATGAGACCAGCATGCAAAAAGAAAAAAAACAAAAACACAGACGATCATTTATTCGATGTGCTCATTGTGTGTACTAGGGATACATTTTTACATCTGGGAGGAAATCTCTATTAATGTATATAGGATCTATTAGTCAGTGTTTACAAATTTCCTGTAATGCGGACAATGAACCCTTGGAGTTCAGTCATTTGTGTCCAAAGGTAAAGAGCACTTTGTACAAAACACACACTGAACTCTTATATCAGCCTTCCTATCTGATTTTGCTAGAAAAGGGTAAAGAGCAGTTCTATTTATATGAATTCTCCAACTTACCTTTGCTACAAAAACGAAGCCTGCTTAGCGGTCAAAAAGTAGGGATCTTTTACGTCTTTTAATCTGCTGTTTGGACTTTAAAATTCATTTGATTTAAATTTTGCGTTTAAGTGAAAAATGATAACAGCTAACCCAAGCAGCTTAAAGCAGGCAACACCTGCCCACTAACAGTCACATAGCTCTGCCCCCTGCCATACCAACCGAGTTGTGACCAAGCATACAGGACAGGCAAATACCATCTTACTACCTCTCCCCCCACCCCCATATACTATGCTTTATCCATACAGAGACAGTAGTCATTGGGAAAGGGGTTTAGCCAGGCTTCACAGAATTTAAAAATCAGCTCCATGCCAAGCCTCACCAACAACCCACACAACAGGAGTGTGTAATTTAGAGCCGAACTCTGGGCACGGAAACGTTTCCTTAAACCAGTGTTTCTCAACTCCAGTCCTCATGGACCCCCAACAGGTCATGTTTTCAGGATTTCCCTCAGATGAAACAGCTGTGGAAATTACTAAGGCAGTGAAACTGACCAAATCACCTGTGCAAAATAATGGAAATCCTGAAAACATGACCTGTTGGGGGTCCATGAGGACTGGAGTTGAGAAAACACTGCATACTTAAACAGATTTTTGCCCTGCAATTTACCCAACCAAGGATCTAATGTGTGCAACTGAAAAGGTTTGTCCCTCCTATTATATGGTTTTTCTAAACCAAACATAAAAAACATAAACAGAGGCAATAGCCACCAAGGACTAATCAACAAAAGCCTTTTCAAACATAAAAAACATAATGACAATCACTGAGCTGGCCATAAGAGTCTAGAGTAGGGCTTCTTTTTTTTTTTTTTTCAGTGATGGTGCCCTTTAAAAGCATATGTTCACATTCAGAACATGTTACATCCTAAAAGCAGGTGGAACATGTAGCATCTTTTCAGCCTTTCTCCCACTACCCTATGACAGCGGGTGGGGAATCTTCTCCCCGCACCTGATGTCACAATTTGAAAATAACGCAGCCACGGGGCTCTGCAGATACGGCTGCATCACTCATTCAGTTTCCTGTGAATGAATGCCTACAAATACTGTCAGCCAATGTGGCAGATGGCTTGTAGTTCTCAGTGACCTACGAGGGCATTGGAGAGCTCTTTCATAGTCCATTGATCTTCCTGCTCACAGGTAACTGCCTGCCCGTATGAGGTATGGGAAGACAGCTATCCTGAGAGTCTACAGAAGCCTGAGATTGCACCCACAATCTGCTGACGAAATGCTCTGCAGGCTGTATTTTTACCAACCCCCAACTGCTCCCTATTTAGCTGTAGAAGCAGCAGCCAGGGCAGCAGCTATACTTTGCAGCTGTAGCAGAAACCCCCTGTCGTGTTCAGCAGGCAGTACTGCCTACCAAACGCGATCAATTTAGGTAAATGAGGATCCACTGCAACTGCCTGAATTACACACAATGCAGTACGGTGCTGCTGCGTTTGGGAGGTTGAAACATGCAGTGAAAAAGCAATACATGACCTCTTCATACATACATACATACATGTATAAATCCATAAACTCACAGACAGCACATAGACCGAGCAGGTCAGGACTCAGGAAGAAGCTTCCCCCATCCACTGCTCTGGATGTCACTGTTCTCCTGATTGAGCTCCCACTGTGCCCATTTACAGTTCCGAGCTCTCAGCCCTGTATAGCAGCTTTTTTCAACCAGGATGTGGCAGCACCTCTGAGAAACTCAGGTGGCACCCCAGTTGAGAAAGTATGGTCTAGAAGGCATACATGTGGTGGTGGTGGTGGTGGGGGGGGGGGGACCCAGCAGATCCACCCACTACAGGCTGCCTGCAGAAAACTACGGGGGAGGGCGGATGCAAGACCAGTGACCCTGCAGAAGAAGAGAGCAGTGCTGACTGGTCTGGTTAACAGGAAACTACTGCACAGAAGTAAAATGCAGGGTCGTCTCATGTTGGATTAGTGCAGCAAGATTCCGGTAACAATATACAGGACTCTTGTAATAAGACATATATAGTTAGCCTGGAGGTCAGCTTTACGGAAGCCTCACCTGTTTCTGACAAACCCCTCCCATTCCAATTGAGACCGGTTTGAGATAATTCTAAAATCCCCTTAAAACAACCCCAACAATAACAAACAAATTACAGGTATAAGCACAGAAAAAAATCAAGTATTTTAAATGCTTACTTGCAGCATTTTCCCTTTCCATAAGTGATATTTTTCTTCACTTCTAGTGTGTCTTTGAACTTGCTATAAAATGTGACTACTCTAGAAGAGCCAATTCCCTACAAACAGTCCCTCCTTCCTTGCACATCACAGCCTTCTCCTTTTCTGGGGGTGTTGAACTACTGTCTGTGCTGGCCCAGATGCTCAATCCCTAACCTACCTTCACTGCATAATCTTTTATGTAGAAGCCAAGGAAGGATAAAAATGAGAATACTACAGAGTGTCACTTGAGCACCAAGTCTGCTG